ACACTCCAGCGAACCATAGTAAGAGCCATTATGCACAAATTGAGAAAACTCGAAACTAGAGCAGGGCGATATGGCCAAAAATATTTATCACGATATATATTTGAAAATTTGCGATAAGACATAACTGACGATATAATTGATGCGAGAGAAAATACAACTCCACAACATTACTAGCGCAAAAAGACAACCTTCCATTTATTTCACTTCAACAAGAAGCTGGTTTTTTATGTACATTAAAGCTTTATAAAAATGTAACCGTGCAAATGCAAATTCCTTGCTGACAGTTTAACCAAAAGGCATTTCCATAGAAATGTGCTGACATATCCTGAGCATAACCATGTATAATATCCACTGAAGTTAAAAAGAGGTGCTTTGCAACATTAAACTGCAGTGTGCAGTACGTATTTTTCGGACCATAAGGTGCACGGATTATAAGGCACATTAAGCGAAACAAAGCAGTCAGATAAATCAAACTTTATTAAACTCATTCTTCTTGCTTCCTCCACTTCTGTACCATTGATTCATTAATGTTGAATTCTCTGGCAGCTGCTCTATTCCCATGTTGTTGCAGTATATTAATGACTAACTCGTATTGTGGATGGATTATCTCAGTTGTTCTCCTGACTGAAGTTTGGTCCGTTTACAGCATCCTGCCATGCGATTGCATTTGTCTCTAACCATGAGGAACCTTCAAGCTAACTTTTATAAGTGGAAAAGTGTTAGTGTTCGTCCTCCAGCTTCACTGTTTATGTTATGCTAACATAGCTGTGTCGCTAGCGATCACGTAGCACATCATTATATACCAGCTAGCCCAACTTCAGTAACCCTACAAACGTCCCTGCGTTTAGTTCCTGTCTTCATTTATGTTGGAAGTGATAGCAGAGATGTACGTTTGAATTTTTTCAGAAATCTTCAGTCAGAACATGCTATATCATGCTTAGGTAACTAGCGAAACTAGCAAGCTAACTTCCGCTAGCTTCCTGCTAACTTCTAACTCCGTTAAATGTAATAAATTTTGTTTTAATGGATGCCTGGACGCTAAACTTCATAGTTACACCTGGTAAAGCAGCAATGCTGATTGTTTTACTAAAGATGAAAGAATTTAGACAGTTTTTAACTCTAAGTGATGCTGCAGTGTTGTTTGACCTGAAGTATACGGAGTTTAGGACCCAGATTACTCCCAGATTTAAGAGCATCTTAGTCCGACAAATATGACAATAACAACGGCCGCTTGCATGTTCTGCAAAAAAATGTGCTTTGTTGTGTATCTGATGGACAAACACCAAACCATTCCACATCACGGAAGTTGCACCATTTTACAAACCAATTCTGGTTCATCTGTTTCACTCAACAATCGCCATGTGCGTATGAAAACAAAGGCACTGCGCATGCGCGTTTTACTCCCATTCTATCGCGATATTTCATTTTCCTATCGTTGCCTAACATTATACCGGTATTACCGTGAACGGTATAATATGGCCCAGCCCTACTCGAAACAGCGGTGAACTTCCCAGGAGTGGCCAGCCGACAAAAATTACCCCAGAGTGCATCGATGAGTCATCTAGGAGGTCACAAAAGAACCCAGAACAACAGCTAAAGAACTGCAGCCTCAGTTGTCTCAGTTAAGGTCAGAGTTCATGATTCAACAATATGAAAGAGACTGGGCAAAAATGGCATCCATGGGAGAGTTCAAGAAGAAAAGCACTGCTGACCAATAAGAACAAAAAGGCTCATCTCAAATTTGCCAAAAAACATGTTGATGATCTCCAAGACTTCTAAGAAAATGTTCTGTGGACTGACGACACAAAAGCTGAACTTTGTGGAAGGTTTGAGTCTCGTTACATCTGACATAAAACTAACACAGCAGTTCATAAAAAGAACATCACAACAACAGTCAAACACGTTGCTGTGAGTGTGCTGGTGAAGGGCTGCTTTGCTGCTAGATTAACTTGATGAAAACATGAATTCTGCTCTCTTCCAGAACATTTCTGACCATCAGTTTATGACCTGAAGCTCAAGAGCACTCAAGTTACACAGAAGGACAATGATCTGAAACACACGAGCCAAGTTATAGTCCAGACTTAGAACTGATTGAGATGCTTTGGCATGACCTTAAACAGGCCAAAGCATCTGGAAAACCATTCAATGCAGTTGAAAAAAAACCAAACAACTTCTGTTGTAAACTTCTGTAAAGAAAAATCAGCTAAAATTCCTCCACGATGATCTGAAAGACTCTATGATAACTGATGTTTGATAACTAATGCTTAATTGCAGTTCTTGCTGCCAAGAGTGGAACAACCAGTTATTCGGTTTAAGAGGCAATTACTTTTTCCACACAGGGAGGTAGGTTTGGAGATCTAATATTAGTATTTGTTTGATGATGTGTAAGAAGTAAGTGTGACAAATACGGAGAAAATCTAAGAAATTATGCCATAATTATATAAAAATATATAAATACTTTTCAAAGCACTGTATATTAAAAAAAAATGCTGGATTATAATGCAGTGTGACTCTCAAGACAAAATCATACAATACTAACGCAAACACACATAGTTTCACAATAAATTATTGGAAAAATATCCTCCACCTCAGAATCCACATCAACAGATATTAATAGCATTTTTTTATACTTCAGAATATGAGATTAAACTCTCTCTTAATGGCAGCATGATAAAGGACTGTCTGCGATGTGGCAGTAAATGCCAATAAGGTATTGTGGTTAGCTGCATGCCTGGGCTTTCATATCTTCCATTCACCATCCATCCATTCACTTCCGCTTATCCTTTTCAGGGTCGCGGGGGGCGCTGGAGCCTATCCCAGCTGTCATAGGGCGAGAGGCGGGGTACACCCTGGACAGGTCGCCAGTCTGTCGCAGGGCCAACACACAGAGACAGACAACCATTCGCACTCACTTTCACTCACACATTCACACCTAGTGGCAATTTGGATTATCCAATTAACCTATCCCCACAAGTTGCATGTCTTTGGACAGTGGAAGGAAGCTGGAGTACCTGGAGGGAACCCACGCAAACACGGGGAGAACATGCAAACTCCACACAGAAAGACCCCGGCCTGATGGTGGAATTGAACTCAGGACCTTCTTGCTGTGCGGCAACAGTGCTAACCACCGTGCCACCGTGCTGCTTTCATATCTTGGTGTTTTGAAACCAGACACGAAAAGCAAGGCATGGCTCTACAACAAGACAGGAAGGACTTAGATAATGCTCTTAAAATTATGATAATCTTCACTTTTTATTTGATAAGGCCTGAAACTAGCAACTGAGATCATAAAGCCATGTGGAAAGTGTTTACTGAGGTCACAGAGCAAGGGAAATGAGTTTCAAATATACTTCTATAACACTTGAAGTCTTTCAGCAACCAGACTAGCCAGTAAAAAAAAAAATGCATGTTGAAGGTATTTCTGCTTTGGATTCACTGCCTGGAAGATATCAAAATCTGGATGTCAACCAACTTTCTCTAACTGAACAACAATAAGGTTCCATTGCTCTGGAAAGTTCTTTGCACCAAGTCCTGCTAACCCATCACCCTCACCAGCTCCCAGTCAAGGTAAGTCTCCTGTAAAATCCTTCTTCTCAGCTACAAATCCAGTAATTATCAGAACCTTCTCCTCCCCTACACCCCATCCCGGACACTGGATTCCTCAGTTAAAGGTCTACTCTCCATTCCCACACCAGACTCCCTTCTGAGATCTACAAGGCCTCGCGGAGGTCTTCATAGAGAAACATAGCTACATATGCAGTCTACAGTCAGGTCCGAAAAACGAAACTTTTTCTTCTTTCTATTAGCCAGAAGGTGTCGACTCAATCAGGTCCAACTGTATAAAAAGACAAGCCTACTCCTAACCCAATTTATGACTTGATTGACGTTTCTCATGTGATGTTGTGCGCATATTATATATATAGCTGTATATCTCAGATTTCTGTAAAGTTATTTATTTCGTATAGTTTTTCATATTTATATCCTGTTCATATCCTGTACATAGCTTGTACTCACTACAGCCTGTACATACCTATAGTTATAGAATATTCACAACATACTTCATACCGTGTACATTATAACATACCATAATAGACCCATTTCTGTAATATACTCACATATCTATATTATTGCTAATATATATTGTAATATATCTATATCACTAAAGCACTTCTGGATGGATGCAAACTGCATTTCGTTGCCCTGTACCTGCGCATGTGCAATGACAATAAAGTTGAATTCTATTCTATTCTATTCTATATTATTCAAGATATTCCCCAACTGGTTGACATAAAGAAGAGTATGATTTGGTGCATGAAGTTGTTACTATGTGTCCACAGTCTTGATTTACATAGTCACCCCTTATTCCATGACAGGTGGTGTAAGTGTAGCTATTTTCATCTTTATATCCAGTCCGTTATCTCCAACTACCTGCATTTTTTTGTTTGAATCTAAAAATATTAGAGTTTCTACACTGCTGCTGCCATTTGAAACAAAAAGCAACACTAGCTGAAATAACTAGCTAAAAGTATATGACTTAACTACCTCCAGGACAGCTAATACTAACGGCTATGTGGCTGAAGTGGGCATCCAGAAGTAAAAGCTAAATGACGTGCTTGTATGTTGCAGCAGAACCAGCCTCACAATGTTACAGGGGTTGTCCCCGTGGTGACCCCAGCTACTGATACACTTTTTCCCCTCCTCTCGCCTTAATTGAAAAGGAAATTTTGGGGACCCTGTTACGGGACACCCACCCCCCTTTAGAGAGAGGAAAATCTTTCTGCAGCTAATTGGATTTCCATATTTAACCAATTAGCTAGAAAAGCTACAAAGCAGCTCTGTGCTTACGCACAGTCACACTGGAGCATGTTGTGCTTAGCATCGTGTTTCACTGTGGAAACACTGCCAGAACTTTCTGCACCATTAACAGAGAACAGAACTGAAAATCAGAAGCTGGGAACACACACGCACACACACACACATGGAAATAAAACGGGTTCGACCTGCAAGTGTGGTCATCACTGACGGAAGCAATTTGTTTCCCCTCCATGGGCTCGAACACCAAATGGTTAATGTAGCTGGTGTGACCCTCCATTACCTAGTGACAGCATTGGAAAAACAAACGTGTGAACAAAAACAGAAAATATACCAATCAATAAGTTGTTAAATGAATGTTTTGTAGCAGTTTAACTACTTCCTCTATCGCTAAGCACTGAACGTCAGCACTAAGCAGCGCAAGTTTGATGCCTAATGACAAGCGCAGTTGTGGCCAATGTGCTCCAGATGTTGCATTACCTTGACTTCATGCCTATCCTGAAGATCAGAAGTCAGCAGGCGTAGCTTTCTGTCAGCTGCAGCCGTGCACAACCTGCAAAGAGAGGACATAAAAACACAGAGTGAGCATCAAAACAGTCAGACCGATGACAAACGACATCATGCAACCACCTACACTGACACCTCTGGATGAGACTGTGTGTGTGTGGTAAAAACTTGGACGCCGATCAGTAGAAACACTGCCAGGGAGATTCTGATTGCAAGCTAAGATAAACATGTAGAAAAATAAGAATCCTCACGCCATTTGTGCACGCTTCTGTTCAAAAAAACCTGTGCAGAGCCAGGCAGAGGACTTTCCCCTCTAATCAGTCCTCGTATACCAGCGCCTGCAATTATTCACACAATTACACTAACTCACTTATGACAAGAAAAACACACACATATCACCAGAATAAACAGACAGCAGTTCACACATTTTCGAGCACAGGCACAGATGGATTTGGCATGATGTCACTACAAACAGCCTTAACGTGCTCCAGGGTTTTACTGCTACAGTAGATTAGATTATATTAGGACAGGCCCTCTCAACCTGCGTATTAGTGTTTGTTGTAAAACATGGAACACACGCTGGCGTTTTGCCTTTTTTTAAATTAAATGTCAAAGCCATTCCCATTGAATAAAAAGGGGAAATTCCAGTGAATTTTTGTTTTGTTGACATAAACTCACTCTACCTCGTGCCATCATTTTAACCCCACAGAGGCTGAAACAGGATAGGTTTTTGAAAGTGAGAACATCTTTGAAAGGTCTGCTTGACCAAAATTAGCAGAATCTTGGCTTAATGTTTTACATTAAAAAAAGAAGCTACATTTAGAGTCTATATACTGTATGCATATGTGAATGTTTTCCCCTTTCATCTTGTAATGACATTTATGAATCCCTGCTTTATTGTGGTGGGGAGGTCTGTGCCCCACTGATCCCAGGAGCTATGTTGAGGGGGCATTTGCTCCTAGTTGGGTTTTGCAAGGCAAATTGGTCCTGGGCAAGAGACCAGACAAAGAGTGATTCAGACGACCCTTATGAACAAGAGAACAAGGAGCCAGTTTGCTTTGCTCAGGATAGGGTTACCAGGGCCCCCTGGAATCAAGCCCGGGGAGAGGGGTCCAAGAAAGAGTGCCTGGTAGCCGGGCCTTAGCCTATGAGGGCCAGTTGGATGCAGGCCAAAGACAAAATATGGACCTGGCCTTCTGTGGGTCTGCAACGCACAAGAAGCACCACATGGGTCCAGTAAGTCAGACAGTAGTTATGGGTGCAAGCCCAGTGGTCTGACCCGAGCGTCCCAGTGATTCCAGGAGCTATGTCGTCAGAGAGAGAGAGAGATCGCATCTCCTGGCTGGCTTGAGAACACCTTGGTGTTCCCCCAGAAGAGCTGAAAGACGTAGTCAGGGAGGTCTGGGCTTCTCTGCCTTGGGTGTATTTGATATCCCCCATGTTGGCGTTCTTCCTGAATCATCACAATTAATCTTGGTCAATCACAATGTTATTAGTTCTGTGACATGGAAAAAAAATTGCCAATGTCCACTCAGGAAAAAGAAAATGTAAAAAAAAAACAAAAAATAAAAACATGGCTGTTAGGGACATGGTTAGGGTTTGGTGTGCGGTGTGATGGTGTGTCAATAACACCAAAACAATACATCGCAAAGTGATAACATCATATCACAATGTTAACCTTGGTGTTCGAGGAACAAAACCAACGCAGGATATCAGACCATGCCTCTTCTTAGACTCCCCCCATTTTAATGCTATTGAGTCTCTTCTTACATTACCAACACTGCAACTTATCCTGCCTAACCTGGTTCAGGTCGTTTGGGCAGCAGCGATGTCCAAACCTCACTCTTCCCAACCACCTCCTCCAACGTTTCCACAGGAACACCGAGCCATTCCAAGATCAGAGATAAAATCTCTCCAGCGTGTCATGTGTCTGCCCCCTGACCTCCTTCTGGTAAGATATGTTTGAACCACCTTAGCTGCCTACTTTTGATGTGGAGGAGTAAGAACTGTGGTTTAGTTTTTTTATCTGACAAAGCGAGGCTGAATTAAACCAAACGTAAATAAAATGTCAGGATAAAATACTAATAAAAACCAATCACAAAATACAAAACTATAATAACTCTTTGTGAAACAATGAAAGCTCCTGAGTAGAAGATTACCAGATAGACCCCAAGATAGTAGAGTTGGAATTAGAGCAGGGCAATATGACCAAAAATATCTATCACGATATACATTTGAAAATTTGCGATAACGATATAACTGATGATATAATTGACACTAGATAAAATACTTTACAACTCAACTTTATTAGTGCAAAAAACCCCAAAAAACATCAATGTATTTTGCACTTACACAAGCAGCTTTTTAAATGCATTAAAGTTATATAAAAAATTTAAATTGCAAATGCAAATCCTTGCTGACAGTTTAACCAAAAGGCATTTCCAGTGGAAATTGGCCGACATATCCTCAGCATAACCATGTATAATATCCACAAAACTTAAAAGAGGTTATAAACACATACAATATGGTAATATTGTATGTGTTTCACTCAGCGAGGCAGCTGCCTACTATAGCCATAATGCTCCGACAATACATCAAGCGGTGTGGGTTCGTAGCTTAGCAAAGTCGTACTGAAACATTTGACAGATTTTCGAGCGCCGTGTACCACATAAAATCGTTTCGAGGTCAGTAAACACAACCAGAATTCATACATAAGGCACACGGGATTAAAAGGGACACTGTCGACTTTCAGAAAGATCAAAGGATTGATTTTAAGTGCGCCGTATCTCCCAAAAAACACGGTAATAACGACGGCCCGCTAGCATGCGCTACCAAAAATAGTGCTTTGTTGTATATCTGACGGATGAAAGCTAAACCAGTTCTACACCACTGAAGTTGCAGCATTTTTACAAACCAATTCTGGTTCATCCGTTTCATTTAATGATCCACTTTCGCTCTTCTCATTCTGCGTCGCAGCCATGTGCGTATGCAAACAAAGGCACTGCGCATGCGCGTTTTACCCATATCCTATTGCGATATTTCATTTTCTTATCATTGCCCAACATTACACCGGTATTACCGTGAACGGTATGATATAGCCCAGCCCTAGTTGGAATTATAGGATAATACAATATCCATCAGTTATTTATTTGTCAAAGTACTTCTATTATTTGCTGAAAAGAAATTTAGAAAATACATTTAATAAAAAGAATACATCCTTGCAAATATACCCATGCATGCAGCAAACTAGGGTGCCAAGCTGAAGTTTTAAAATATGTTCTGTGCAAACTACGGAATATATTAGCATGTAATTTACTGATGCATGTCTGTTTCTGGTTGCCTAGTGATCCAAGCTGCAATCATCCCTGAGGGCATCTGAGGGTAAAATGCCACAAACATGAACTTTAGCTTCTCTGGTTTGAGCCTGGTTGGGGGTCTTTGTTGTCATGTCATTCTCATGTCCCTCTGCCCATCTTCTCTTTGTGCCTTTAACTCTCTGATAAAGGCCAGCATGTTGTCCACTGTATATAGTAAATGACAGGCAAGGCTGAAAAATGTGTGTGTTCAGTTGAAGTCTGTGGTTTTAATAGTCTCCAGGCTTGTTCTCATTATAAGCTGCTGTGGTGGCAGCTTGAGGCCCCTCTTCTCCCCTCTCTGTTACTCTCTCTGGGCCCCCACTTGAGGCAAACCCGTGAGAACGTTGTACTTTTCCTGGAAGGCACAGCTACGTGCAGCCTGAAGGGAGGGATGGAACCTGAGTGGGTAGTCATCAGCGCAATAACAAGTGCGCACGTCACAGGGCTGGCTCAAGGGTCCTGTGGAGTAAACCACAGAAGGCCAGCTGCTTTTCCTTTTCAATTACAGAAAGGCTAAACACCTCCAGGGGGACCACGAAACCTTCCCATCCACCGCCTCAGGCGAAAACTCTTGCTTTCTAACAATCTTTGCTTGGGCTACTTCCCTCCTGTCCAAAGCCACCTGAAACAACTTTGCTCACATCCTGGCATCTGCAGTGTGACAGCAAGAGGCAGTGATGACTACTTTCACTGGCTGGTGTGCTTTCTCTGCAAATGTCTCTTCTCTGGTCCCAAAAACTGTGTTTACAACAGTGACCCTGTTATGTTAAAAGACGTAAATGTCTAATGTGGAAGTGAAAGTTGGCTGGAGACCTTCTAATCCTGCCTCATCATGACCTCTCACGTAACAAGAGGCCCATGACCTACAGATGAGCTACAAATGTCCAACCAAATGCCTTTTGCTAATAAGGCATCAGTTAGATTGGCTTAGACACTGTCAACCATCTGTTGCTTGGGTAAGATTGTGTATATATTCCAACCGGTTAATAAATAACATTGCTGAACTTTTTCTATTTCCAGTTTGCATTACATTTTGTTTAATTTTACAGTCACTCACCTAGTAGTTGGCAAGCATTCGCAGACCTATATGGAAAACTACAGGCAACTGTGGCAACCTAAACAACCTAAGGAACCACTGGAGCTGGTGGTCATATCACATGAAAACCTACAGGCAACTGCAGGAATCTGCTAGCACACCGGTCCCCAACCCCCGGGCCTCGGACCGGTACCGGTCCGTGAGTTGTTTGGTACCGGGCCGCGAAAGTTGAGGCTCAGGTGTGAAATGTATAGTTTTCAGGGTTTTTATCGGTTTTCAGCGTTATTTTTCAGAATCAGAATCAGAATCAGAATGGGTTTATTGCCAGATGTTGAGGTTTACAACATTAGGAAATTGCTGCGGTGCTTCAGTGCAGACAATAAGAATTAAAGTGCTATGTAGAAAGAAAGATATGTGCATGAGATATACATGAGATATATACATGAGAATAAGAATTTTGTTATCGTTTGTATCGTTAACTCGGTTTTCCTTGGTGTTTTCACGTGTGTTATGAATAAATCTTCTTTATTTTGGTACCGGTACTAGTTTTATTTTGTTGTATTTATCCGTGACACCTTAAAGGCCGGTCCGTGAAAATATTGTCGGGCATAAACCGGTCCGTGGTGCAAAAAAGGTTGGAGACCGCTGTGCTAGCATACACAGCATACACAAAAAGGGTTACGCTGGGGGTAGGGGTGGGCGATATAAACGATATATGATGGAAACGATATAAATTTGGCTAACGATAGAGATTTTGACTATATGCGCTATTGCGATAGCGCATGATGATGATGTCATCAAGCTGCGCCTGTTTTGGTAGAAAGCATCGTAGCGGCTACAACCATGTCACAGCAAAGAGATGAAGCACTTTTGAAATATGGGGAAAGCCAAAAACTGCCCTTCCTCCACTTCCGTAACATTGATTCATTAATGTTGAATTCGGAAGCAGATTTGTGTCGTGAAAAGGCCAAAACGCCTGAAACGCGCGTCAGTGTAGCGCGTTTCAGGCGTTTGACTTGCGAAAAAAAACACGCGCCTGAGTTTTTGTGTTGCATTTTGTGCATACGCGCGTTTCGCATCTACCGCTGGAGTTGGAAAAATCTGAACTCCAGCGTCAAGTTGCGCCGCGACAACCAATCAGGAGCCTGGTGACGTGGCTGTGACCTAGGTCAAAGGGGCAGATCCAGCCAAAGCCCTTCATTCTTCAGTGGAGGGGAAGGCTAATCAATGCTGTTGAAAACAACCCAGAGCTGTACGACACCAGCTGCTTTCTGTACCGAGACAGGAATATAAAGGACAGAGCTTGGAGGAAGATATGTGAAGAGATCGGGCAACCTGGTAAGTTCATTCATTTCTCTTTGAAAGTTTTCACTGACCTGGCAAGCTAGCAAGCCACCGCTATTTTCCCATGGACGTACAAATACCGTTCTGCTTTTATGCATGTTGTCATATAGGAATATATTTTGTTTATTAATAAACAGCACACAGTGGTCCCGCTGTTCATCCGTCACTGCCTCGCTTTTTCGCTGATTTTTTTTTTTTATTGCACAGTACAGCATTGCATTCTGCAGCCTGATTGACAAATCTCCTCCGTGCCGTGTCTCCTGCGCGTGGCAAATTTATCATGTTTGGTTTTGATAACCATCACGTCCAATAGAAAAAAAAAAACGCACAAAAACACCCATAACTATGACCCTCATTCGGAAATAGACACCTGCACCGCAAGGGAAAAAGGCGCACGAAAGTGGCAGGCAGATGAAGACAAAACGCGGCATAATAATACTTTTACGTTTTGCAATCTACAAAGGTTTGCACTTTGAGAATCAATTGTGAGAACTGTGACCAATGTTCATGTGTGTGGGGAAAACAGTGTACGAAGTGCGTGGCCAGGGCCTAGTGTTTCTGAGAACCCCTGCTGCAATAAATGATGGACCACTGTATATACTTTCTCTGATTATTATATTCAACCTGTTAACATTTAATACTGTATTGATAGAGACAACCGATTCTGCAGCAGAGCATCCCCTGTTGCTTCTCCTGGCTCCCCAGTCCCTGAGCTCCTGCTGCTGCACCCACAGGTATGTACAGCAAGCACTGATAGCTTTTTACTCTGTGGGATTACCTTGTGATCACCTTTACTAAATATCTACAACCAATCTGATTATATCCTGTTTTTGTTTTCAGTGTTGAAAATTAAAATCTAGTAGCAGCCTTCTCATTTCTTTGTGTTTTGTGCTGTTTTACAGGCCCACAGAGGAGGACGGCTCCGAGGCAGATGAGGGACGGTCCATCGCCGGTGGAGTCCCTGAAGAGGCCACACCAGTCTCCAATGGAGCATTTCCTCCTCAGCCTTGTTCCTGCTCTGGAGAGCAGCTGGGTCCTTTTTATTCCTGTCTCTCTGTAAATACTTATATTTTATATATTTATGTTTAATGTTTTTCTGTTCGAGAATTTTAATATTATTTCAAATAAATTTTTATAATGACAAATGTCTCTAGTTCTACTACACAGCAAACGTTGGCACACGACTTGACACATGTAGAATTTATTTCATATTATACTAATGACAAAATATACTAATACAGTGGGATGCAAAAGTTTGGGCAACCTTGTTAATAGCCATTATTTTCCTGTATAAATCATTGGTTGTTACAATAAAAAATGTCAGTTAAATATCATACAGGAGACTCACACAGTGATATTTGAGAAGTGAAAAGAAGTTTACTGGATTTACAAAAAGTGTGCAATAATTTTTTAAACAAAATCAAGCAGGTGCATAAATTTGGGCACCACAAAAAAAGAAATGAAATAAATATTTAGTGTATATCAATGTCTGTGTCTCCTATATGATATATGGGGTGCCTTTGTCTGGATGTGCTTCCCATCCAGAGCTGCACAGCACAGAGGAAAGTTTCAGCACTCCTGGAATCCCTCTGTGATGGACCGCCAGTCTCCAGGTGAAGGCACAGCCATGAAGTTGTCCACTAGACAGTCCCAGATGGCCGTCGCTACCTGGGGGGTGATCTGACACACCGACTCTGTAACTGAACGCTTGGAAGGAGTCCCCGGTGACAAGGAACCTGGACAAAATTGTTCAAAATCAGTATTATGTGTACTGCAGTTACAAAATACATTATTCAAATTCCAAAATACTTTTGTGATGTCAGATTTAAATCACAAAACTTGAATCTTACATAAAACATTTTGTAATTATAAGGATAATTACAAAATGTATATTAGATCATATCTAAAACAGTTGTTTTGTTTTAACTTTAACATATCATAATTTGATTGGTAGCAACTTTCACAACTACAGTGAGCCAATCACTCATAATTCCTAAACATGTCAATCAGGTAGGAATGAAGTAAGACATTAATAGAAATAAAGAGTTTTATGTTGACATGTAGCCCTTTCCTTTCTTATATCATTAATATTTTTGAAAAATAAATCTGTGATAAGACAGCTTATCAAGATGGAACCATGCAACTAAAGATGAACCAAACTGTTCAGTTTTATCTAACTCTCAGTTTTAATAAAGGCTGTGACCCCTGTTATAGAGTCTGACAGCTGCAGGGATTATATACAAATATTCAACTATACCAGAATTAAACCAGGTTTAAATAAAAAAAAGGAGTGAGTATCACTACAAAGATTAACCCACAGTGGTCCTAATGCTACAGTTTGATATCAGCAAACACCGAGCGCATACATTGATAGGACACCACAGCCATGCTATCATTCAAACACTGATAACAGCATAAATTGAATTAAATCAGGACTTGATAAGAACTGAGTATCACTAAAAATATTATAAACAGTCGTCTCCATACCACAGTTTGCTATCAGTAAACACCAACGGCATTCATTGATAGCATAGCACATCCATGTTAGCAGTCTATAAACGATAGTTTAGCATATTAGCACAGGTATCAATAAAGGACTACCGTATTAAACACTTTTACTAACCTCAGGCAGACGGACAGGCGCTCTGCAGGTGGGATTGAGCGCCTGTAGTTGGTGTCTAGGCGGGCGATGCTTGGACCAGCGCGGGCCGCAGGTCCTCAAACTGGGCGAGGGAAAGACGGCGATATCGCTGTCATCGCCTCATCCAGGCGCAGCTCCTGAAGCAAGTGGTGAAACTCACCAAACTGCTCACGCGTCTGGAGGACCTGATGGACCCAGGTACGGCGAGGACGTCCTTAACGCCGCTGCTCTGCTCTCCACAGTGAATAGAGAAGGGAGACTCTCTCTTCAAGCGCTAGCTCGACAGCTGCCATCTAGCAAAGATACCGGTCTGGCACAACTTCCTCCCACATTTCCGGTTCACGCGCGTCAAAGTATGCAATTTTGAGGCGCGATGGATTTTTCTTGGACACGCGTCGAGGTGCGAATGTGCACGCGTCAAATTAGGGGCGTTTGGGGCGTTTTCGTTCGCGTCTATCGCGTTTGGTGTGAACACACCGTTAGTGTTCGTTTGACTTTGGGACCTGAAGTGGATGGAGTTTTGGACCCAGATTACTCCGCGAAGCTCCTCACTACGGCAGCCATAATGCTCTGACAATCCATCAAGCAGTGCGGCTTACCAAAGTTGTACTAAACATTTTTAACAGATTTCTGCACGCAGAAATCGGTTCGAGGTCAGTAAGCACAACCAGAATTCATACATAAGGCACGCTCTCGATTTTTGAGAAAATTAAAGGATTTTAAGTGTGCCTTATAGTGTGGAAAATACGTTATACAGAAGAAAAGAATATATCGTGATATATATCGTTACCGCACATGCTTGAAATTATATCGCGATATAAATTTTAGGCCATATCGCCCAGCCCTAGCAGGGGCAGTTGATTTAACCCAGCGAAAACCAGAAACATCAGATGAGAAACTTCAATCAAGCTCAAAAGTGACCACCCATGTTTTGAATGTCTTCAGCTCCCGAAGCTGAACATGGGTGTCTTCATTCATGTTTCAGAAAGCGCTTACATGAAGAGTTTTAAACAAGCCACCGAGCTACAAAGTGAACGATGTTAATAAAAAGACTTGATTTGGATATAAAAAAACAAAACAAAAAAAAAAACAGAAGGCGGCCAAAGCACGTGGAATGCAAGTGGCCTAGTACCTGATAGTGGGTATCCTGTCCAGCCGAGACTCGGGGCTCCAGGCTAGAGCGTCGACACGCAGTTCATGGTGAAAAGCTCGAAGAACATTGAATTCAACTCCCTCGACCTCCACATCCTCCTCCTGTAGGAGCAAAGTTGCATTCAGAGAAGGAAACAGATGTGCACTCAGTGAACCAAAACACGTGAGACTGTATCTCTAACCTGGAAGAGGCAGGTGCCCACCACCACGTACTGGTTTCCACCATAGGCCAGGAGAGATGCCGGGGTACCGGAGCTGAAGGGACTGAACTCCACCACATGAACAAAGTCGTCACATGGCACGGTGTAGCTGGGACTGTGGCTTGAGTCCTCCTGCATGTCGCGCGTACTTTCACTGAAAGAATCAGAAGGATAACCGATAGGAAATGATTAGGATGATCATCAATACCTGTTGTTTAAAACCACTTTTAAACAAGAACATCAGTTCATTGATCAGATTATTATCGGTAAATGTACCAGTAGTCATGATAAATGTGATAATTAAAAGTCTCAACACTACATATATGATGATATTAAGCTATTTTGTTAAAGGTTGTGTTTAACTTGATTTTTAACTGATTAACTAAACAGGTTCCCAACTTTTAGGATAAATAACATTAGGTTTGTCTTAACGCTTAAAGGTAAATCAATGGGCTTCTAATGAAAAGGCACAAAATACTCAGGCACAAAATAAATGTTGTGTTAATTGTAATGTCTTAAAATCAGTCAGTTCTGTTAAGTGTTTGAGCACCTTAGATGTGGTAAATGGAGTTGTTATTATATAGCGTTTTTCTACTCTACTAGAGCAGTCAAAGCTCTTTATACAACATGCATCATTCACCCATTCAAACAAGCACTTGTTTCTACATCTATCTTTCTAACATTCACACACATTCATACATCATACCTACATACTCTACCACCTGAGCTACAACCACTTGTTGTAGCTGTACATCATGGAGGTACAACACACAAATCTGCTGCAACTGATGCCATTATATCAAGAAAATTTCCAGGAACTTATTGAATGTATATTTTTAAAAAGTCTAGACTGGATTTTATTTCAGTCAACTAAAATTGTTTTCAGGCCTACTTTTATCTTAGTTTTTGTTAACTACACTAGTTGGGGATTTATAAACCCTCTTTTGTATCTTGCAGATAAAAAATAAAGTTAAACTTAACTAAACTAAATCAGTATTTTTGCTTATGTTCAATAAAAAAAAAGGAAAAAAAGTGTGCAGGGTTACAGTTGCTAAGGATCCTAAAAACCAAACGTCAATCAAAGACTTTCTTGTTTTTCATATCCCAGTAGTTACAGACTCATGCACAGCAAGTAGGACGCAGCTGGACTATGTTTTACCAAACTACATTGATCAACATTAGATTCGGCGCAGTTAATATACACACAGAGTCCCCCCCCCTTTTTTAAACTTAGTACAAATGCAGACAGTGCTTAAAATTGTATTACTGCTTATGAGTTAAGTTTTTTCTCGCTAAGTTGCAACAAGGTCGTTTATTTTCATGTTATTTCTGTAAAGGAAAACTAGGTGAATATGATATCTCAGCTAAACTAGTGTGGCTTTTGTGGAAGAATAATAATAATGGTAGCATGTCACCAGTCTAGAAGCAAAACGTGCTGCTGGTTTAAATGCGGAAGCACTGCTTGTCGTTTTTACCAGTCAAACCGCAGCCTGGCAATGTCGTAGCTAACCCTTACTGGTGAGGGTCTATCTAAACTCAGAACACAGCAGTAACTGATAGACTTTACTACCTTATTTTCAATGAATCCCTTGAACGAAACGCTGCCCGCGTTTGAGATGTTTTCAATCTTCTTCCGATTACGACACGGAATGTACCATCGAGTAGAAATGTCAGAGGGTGGTTGGGTATTAGTTATGGCGACAGAAATTTTTGGGGAGAAAGTCTAAACCACTTTAGAAAATCCATAAGCGTTACTGAAAGATTTTATTTGAAACACGTCTAATGACACGAATTATAGCTAGCTGTCGAGTTTTAGAATTGAATATCTCTACGAAAAGAAAAATCTCACCCCCGCTATTTGCTGAGAGGTGATTGGACAAAAAGGAACAACGTCATCGGCAATTTAAAATTTCAAAACAGCTGCTTTGTGTCGTGGCTGTGTGCTCTTGGGAAGACTGCAGCAATTTAAGAGGTTTGCGTTGTTTAATCAGTCTTTTTTAATGTAAAGTGAATAAACGCTGTGTTGTATATATGTATGTAGTTGTAGATGTAAAATGTGGACACATTTTTGCTGTGAAATACTTACAAGTTATCGAAGGTGTTACATGCCACTGAGACCCTGTATGAAAATTAAGTCTTTAAATTAATTTCAGGTATGTCTTTCTGTATTTAAAGAACTATATGTATAAATTGGTTTTGAGGGTTTCTTTTTTTTTTTTTGCCAGTGACTTTTTCCTTTCTTGAAGGAAGCAATCAGTAACTTAAGGCCTTCGAATTCCCCTCAAGATATTCTTCCTTCTCGCCTTTTCAAGGAAGCTCTGTCGACTAAGGTTGTTCTGTTGCTTTAGTCACTTTACATTTGACTGCCGCTTTGACACAGTTATTCATAACATTATTTTTTATCCGACTTGACCATGTCGTTGGTCTTAAAGGCACAGTTTATCTTTAAAGAGAGGTCTTTTTCTGTTGCTATTGGAAATACTCCCCCTATTTGTTGTGGTGTGCCACCGGGGTCTGTTTTGTGTCTGTTTTGGATCCAACTCTCTGCTTTTTTTTTTATACATGATACCTTTGGGATCCATTTTCAGGAAATACACATTCCCTTTCACTGTTATACTGATGACATCCAAATTTACTTCCCCTTGAAATTGTATGTCTCTGTCCCCCTTCACCTTCTGCTTAACTGCCTACATGATGTTAAAGAGTGGTTAAAACACAATTTTCTCGCCCTAAATGGAAATAGGACTGAAGTTATTGTTTTTGGAAGTCATGGCCCTTTTGGATAACTGATGCCCTTGGTCCTCTTGCTTGTCATCATTTCCACACTGTAAGAAATCTCGGCATGTTTTTAGATGGCTCTTTTAAATTAGAGAAGCAAGTGTCCACAGTTGTGAAATCGGTTTTTAATCAGTTACGTGAAATTGCGAAGCATCATCTTCCTCCTAAAGACCTAGAAAAATTTATTCATGCCTTCATCACCTCTAAACTGGACTACCGCAGTTTTCTCTATTTGGGTCGTCAACACTCATCTCTCCATTGCAGCAGCATTTTAGTCCACTTCACATCACTTGCCATATGATATTCGTACTTCAGAACTACACAGTCCTTCAAATCACACTTAAAACACATCTTTTATGTTGGCTTTTAAATCAAGTTCAGTTTAACATCAGGCTTGTTTTATGTTTTGTTTTTATGTTAATACATTGTCATTGC